GGGGGGGGGGGGAGATGGTCACGGCTCCCCCAGAGGGTGGAAAGGGAATAGGGTTGGGGAAGAGCCTGGACCAGACCCTTCCCCATCCACCAGGAGAATTTTCTCCTCCCGCCGCCCTAAACACGCCTCCCTTCCCTCACAGGGGAGGGGGAGCGGATATTGCTGCTGAGAAGGGGACAGGTTGCATCAGATTAACTGAATTTTACATTGTACACAAAATTAGCTGGAGAAATGAACCCAAAGGTGGCAGGAAGGGCACCTGGGAACGACCAAGGAACAAATACAACAGGCATCAACGTTTAGCACATCAAGGACCAACTCAGCTGTCTCCAAGGCACCAGCACTTCTTGCTGAGTCAGCCATGATGGTCTGTGGTCCAAGGCACTGTTGGCGATCTGGCTACAGTGGCGTCTGGTGTCAGAACCACTGGCCAGATCTAGAAAAATAATAAATAGAGAAAGCAAAACCTTTAGAGGTGAGAAGCCTGAGCCCTGGAACAATCAATATACGTGTCCTCTGTAAACAGTTAAACCGAACTGTGCTTTTCTGTGGATCCGACGTGTCTCGAACGTCTTCCATATTCCTTCTTCCCTGGTGCGTATCCAGCCTTCCGCGGTGGGTGGGAATGCCGGGGTTTGGGCGGGCCTGTTGGCTAGACGTGGAGCCCTCCCTACTCCCGGTCCCAGTGGGCCAGTCTGGGGGAGGACCCTGCGAGGTCCCACCACAACCTTCCCATTGTCCCAATGCCGGCTTCTTCCAGCGGGGGCTTTGTGGGTATCACAGAGCTCTGCGGCCACTCTTCCTGGTAAGCCTTCACCTTACCCTCACCTGGACTCCAGGATGGCTGCTTCACACCGGTCCCCACCAGGCTTACACTTGCTCAATCCCTCCCCCTTGAACCAACACCCATGTTGGGCTCAGCAACCCTGTGTTTCTTCCCCTGCAGCTACTGTGGTCCCACCCCCAGAAAAGATAGGCAGCTGAAGAGTGGGCCCAGCCCACCAGTCTGTCCACTGGCAATAACCCTGAGCTGGAGGAGGAGGTCAGAAGGTGAGAAACATAAAAAGGCAGGGCAGGAGGATAGAAGGGCAGGGAGCCTGTTGATGTGGGGTTGTAGGGAGGGTCAGGCAGGTCTCACAGATACAGAGGATGAGGGGTTAACTCTGGGGGGTTGGAAATGTATTAAAAATGAGCCTTGATGGAGTTCAGCTCACCTCTGTCCTTTTAGAAAATTTGTGTAGATACCAGCCATCATCCTGCCCCACAAGGACAGCTCCTGGTGGACAGAATGAAGGTGAGAACGGGCAGGAGAACCAGAATGAGAGTCGGCTGAACCAAGTCGGGTCCCAGAGCTGGGTGGGGGAACCCCCCCTCAGCTTTCCACCCCTGCCTGCTCTGGGCCCGCCCCCCCATCTGGATGGCCCTGAGGCGGTCCCCTTACTCCCTTAGAGGTGGCACGTAACTGCAGAGGGCAGCTCTTGCCCTTGGAGCCCTCGGAACCGATGCCCCAGGGCCAACCTCAGCCAGACGAATGCAGTTGGAAGTGTCTCCTGCAGGCTGGACAGAGCAGGAGGTCACTGTGCCTACTGCTCAGCAGCAGATGTCAGACGAGTACGGGGTCCGAGTAATGTTCAGTGGTAACCTAGGCGCTCTGGGTGGAGCCGGCCATTCAGGTGCTGCCCTGTGGAACCCCTAGCCAACGTGTGAGGTCACTGTCTCGCTTCAAGGCGATGGTCAGGTTGTACAGGGTGGGGAAGGACAGTTTCATTCCAGGGTCCCTGTGCCCAGCGTACGAGGTGTGGTGATGAATGGGGTCTTCTTTCTTGAACCCCTTACCTTACCAGATCCGTCAAGTACCTGATAGTGAGCCCTAGTCGTGGGAACCCAAAGGTGGGTTTTCCGGGATTCTGGATTAGTATAGGATGGAGATGGCAGGAGGGAAGGGAGAGAGACTTAAGACATGCAAGAGAGGGGCCAGAGGGCTCCTGATGTAGGAAACAGGCACTGTCACCCTGTCCTGATGACTTGGTCCCTGCATCATCCTCCCAGTATCTTCCCCCCCCCCCCCC